GATGAACTGTTTTCTTTTTATTCAGTGGGTCGTGTTTCATACGGAAGGGAACTGTTCACTTGGACTGTTCACCACAATGCTGAATCAAAAACAAATATAAGGTTTTAAACCACTGCTTGTTACATTTTCTCTTCAAGCACACAAACTTGGTCTTTTCATACTTTTTAAAAATTGTTATTATTTCTTCAGGTTTGTAGTGAACCAGATAACCTCAAATCTACCAGATGGACAGAGACTGTTATTTTCATTGATCTGAATAAGTCTGAACCATCTGATGAACTTTCTTTCTTGAATTAATCAAGCAGAAAAGACAATTCTTTATAATCATTACTGTCTTACAAATGTTTTGATAATCAAATTGTGTTAGTTCACTCAATGCTTTACAGGTTGAAAAGAACTACTAATTTTTATTTTACATAAACAGTAAGTAATGATTTTTGTTCCTCATTCAAAGCAGAAATCACCTGAATATGCCTTTCTTGATTTTTCTGTCTGAAATGAGCAAGCTGTCGTAAGTATGTGAAAGGTTGGTCTTCGGTCAACTAAAATGTTTACTGAAGAAGAAATGTCATGTTTAAACTTTTTCAGAAGATTACTAAGAGTAGACTCCAAAAAGTCTGCTGCTTCTGCAATAATCTTTTCTGTATGTTAAACAAGTTCATTCTCTGACCTCGACTGTTGATAAACACCTTACGTCAAAAACCACTCCTCTTTCTGGTCCTTCCACGAATCAGAAAGCTCTAAATTGAACAGGAAGTCGACCCAAATAAAATGTGGCAACTCCCCAGTTCAAGTTAGATTGAGAGTTCTGAGAGATGTTGGATTGGGAGCTGACAACAGGTCCGATAGTCTAACAGAATGAGAAGATTGAGAATGCAGTCGGTTCTGAAAGCTTCAGAGCAATGAAGAATCCAGAGGTTTTTTGGGGATTATAATTCTGTTTTGAGCTAATCAACGCACGACTTTCTGAAGGTTTGGTAGCTCTCGACGGAGACGCTGAAACGAGTCAGAAAGGAACTACATCCAACGCTGATTCATCGTCAACAGGTAGATGGTTCTATTTTGACCAAGTGTACCGTGAGAAGCTGAGATCGGACGGAGCGTGCAACTTCTGGTTAAACAGATTAAATCTCCCTCACATATTCCTCTGTAAGATAAATCTCAATTTACTCTTAAACTCACCTCTCTCTCATAAAACAGTACAGATATTTTTAGAAATGTCTGAAGCAAAGTCCTCAAATCACCGCCGAGTGATTTGAAGTTCATTTTCTGTGAAACTGTCTGTTATTATTTTCATATTTTGCCAAATTAATGTAAATGTTTGATGTTAAACTTTGATTTTGAAAATAAATGATTCCATTCATTTGATGGGTCAAAGATAAATAACGTCTCTCGTTCACATTTCTGTTAAATTCAATGCACGGCATTTACAGTCAGAAAAATGAAGAACTCGTGAATATTGTATGCATATATAATTCATATATTGTGTCATACAACAAGTGACACGTACCTCACGTGTATCACTACAACTGGTGGCCCGTACAAGAGTTGGGCGGAATAAGTACAAGACAAAAGCGCAGCATCGGCGGGCTCCTGCTTGCTGCATCGTCACTAGGATCACTGTTTGGCCTAGGTTTGTCCGCATACAACACTGTCAGTATAACGTCACTAAAACAACAAGTGTCTGAAGTAGAAAACGAGGTCCCAAAAATCCGAGCACTAATGGACCTTCAACAAACTCAAAGACAAGAAGAGCTGAAAAGTTTGGCCGCAGGAACATTAAATACAGAGAGTAAAAAGCTCAGCCTTGAACGGTTAGCAAAAATCTCCCTGCTTCTAAAAGCTGAATTGGATGAACGGTCGGAACGCCTTGACTGGATGTCTGAAAAACATGAGAGGAATCTCTCAGAAATGCAGGCGTCACTAGCAGAAAAATCTTATGAAAAGATTAAAGAAATAGACCGTCAGTACAAAGCCACGTGTGAAGATAACGATGTGCTACAACAACAGTTGCAGCTTGCAAAAACTGAACTGGAACAATGCAAAATAGATAAACAAAATCTACAAAAGCTAAATATGCTCTTAGAAGGTGACTACTGTAAATCCCAGGAACATTTAAAAAAATGTGAGGCGAAACTAATAGCAGCAATAGAAAAAGGTCAGAATGTTGTTCAAGGTGACCTGGAATCAAAACCAGACCCTGAACAGAATCGGGGTAATACACCAATTACTCAACGACCTCTTTTCTCACAAAGTGCTTTTAGACCCATCCAATCACCTACACAAACGGGCAGAGCAACACCCCCACAACTGATCACGCATGTGAGACCATTGATATCTTCTCCATCAATGGATGACTTGCAAAAAATCTCAAAATATGTACAACGTTTCATCCCTGAACCGTTGGGCTCCCCTGGAACGAAAGCGTACCTCAGAGATCTGGATTTCAGATTGAGAGCTTATCCAAACGCTACGGTAGAAGATAAAATCAGTCTGATACGACTCACTTCGGACAGAGATGTGTTTACCTTCATCGAGCGTCTGCCAGATGCAACGAGAAAGGATTACAAACTTCTGTGTGAAGCTCTGATCAAAGAGTACGACGCCTGCGCAGGACCTACTGGGTATCCAGCCGCAGACAAGGTCACGCAGGGCAAGAATGAACATCCAAAAGTTTATTACAAAAGAATCTTCCAAGCTTATTTTGGTAACAGAAATGAAACCGGAATGGAGGAAGAAGAAGGTTTTAAATTTGTTTTCAGCAAAAATCTCCATCCTGACATTCAAACGTCAGTGCAAATGATGGCAAATTACAGAGAAAAATCCATCAGTGAGATTAAACAGTGCGCTGTGAACGTGTTTGAGGCACGTTGTCATGCCAAGACGCCCATAGAAGTGTTTCCTGGTGTAAAGGTTAAACCCCACTCCCTAGAATTAGAAGGAAGGCGTGCATCGCCACCCCCTCCTAAAAAGGGAGAAAAAAGGCAGTATTTTCAGACTAACAAACCGCATCATGAAGGTGCACGCTGGGATAAAAAGGCTCCTCCTGCAGAGGACGAACGTGATTATCGTAAATGGGAACCGAGAGGAACCCCAAAAAGACGTACCTAGCCGCCCCCCACCTCGGACGAAACGTCCAGAGGCGAAAAAATCACAAAAATCCCAGAAAAAAGGCCCTCCACCTCTGAACTCGGAAGAGACAGAAAAATTGCGTGAAATGTTAGAAGATTTGAAACACACTGACAAGGGAAGCCGACCAAAAGCACTATGCAGTGAGGTACTCACTACAGCATCTCTGGACGCGAATGACAACACTACAGATGTCGGTGAAACACACCAAGACGCTGTTGTTGTTGCCTCAAACAACCCCTCATCGGATGAAAGGGGGGTAATCACACACACAAACGATGACCAGTCATCGCAAGCTGAACACGCAGAAACAGCTACAGCTGTGCTGACGGTTCAGACAAACCAAGATTACACAGATAAATCTGAACGCGTGAAGAAGCGTCAGAAAAAACCCAAAAGGTTTCTGTGTAACTTTATCAGAAAGGGGGCCGCCAAAAAGGCGTACCTGTCAGTAACACTCGAAGGTGTCCTCACACACGAAGCACTCTTGGACGGTGGGGCAGACATAACTATTATGTCAGCTAAACTGTTCGAGGAGCTGAGGACAGCCGCAGCCGAGAAAAACAGGATAATACCTCTATCTGATTGTGCTATAGAAATGCAGGGTCTCTCAGAAACGAAAACAACCCTGACAGCTATAGCAATGGTTCACATGCAGATTGGCAATATGACACTGTACCACCCGGTACACGTGACCCATGTTGACTCATTCCCATTTTTGGTTGGCCAGGATTTTATAAATCGCTTTAACGCGATTATAGATTATGGTGATCAAACAATGTGGACAACAGTGAGAAAACCACTGCCAATAGAAACGCCTCCGGAGTGTGACACAGACTGCCCAACAGCAGGTACCGCGGAAGGCACAAAGGACTCCTCAGCCGAGGACACGAGCCCGGTGAGTACTCCTCTAACACCATGTGAAACCAAAGAAACCCAAGAGGTCCAAACTCTGACTCAACAAGACAGCCTCCTCTGTGAGCTGGAACAGTCAGAGTCCACCAAACACTACCTACCACTGGTAGTT